TTTCTCTTGTAAATTTACATATATTTTTGTTGTCAAAACTATGTATTTGTCCATACTTTTAAAAGGATCTTAAAAAAATACCTTAATTTCAAGACGAAACTTGTGTATATGTTGGGAAAAAAAAAAGCACGAAAATATTGATTAAACCTGATAATACATTTGATATTCTATTAAATTACTTAATTTAGTTGCTGTATAAAGAAACAAGTGAACTAACTTAAAATGAAGAAGTGCGATATGGTTACACAAATATCAATTTAATATGAAAATGATTTTCATCCATAATGAGCTCCTGTGAATAACCTAGTTATAAATGAAAAATAAATAAATACTGTGCCATACCCGAAATTTTCATTATAAATCAAAATCGAGTCATTGGCGCCTTGTTGTTTTTTCTAAAAGTTCATTGTATTAAAATTGTGCTTTACTATTTAGGAAATAGCATTAAAAACGATTGTCAAAATGATTTTACGTACATTTTAAGTTGATTGCGGATAATTAGAACTACCGAACCGATTTTTTAATCGTATATAAATACAAAATATTCTTGCGATCGATTCAGAAAAAATCCATCGCTCTAGTCTGATTTAATTATTCAACTCGATAATTTTAAACATCTACATTCCATTAACAAATTTCCAGTAAATTACTTTCTTTAAAGATAAAAAATGATTGATTTAAATACCTTTGTTGGTTGTGTCGTATTGGGAGTTATAGGTTGGATTACTTATAAAGTATATATTTATCCATACCATATTTCTCCCTTGAGAAATATTCCTGGGCCACCCTCGGAAAGTCTGTTTTATGGAAACATCAAAAGTTTCATCAATGAGGAGGTAAGTTTAAAAAATTTCAATTATGATCCCGTTTTTATCTTTAATTGACATTGTTCTTTCTTTTACACAGTCTGGTGAACCATACGTTAAATGGACACAACAATATGGAAATTTTGTAAAATATCATGGTTTTTTCAATAGGCCATTTCTTTTGATCACCGATACAAAACTCGTACAAGAAATTATCTCAAATCAAGTATATGAATTCACTAAACCTCAAAACTTTGGAGAACTTAAAACTATTATTGGTGACGGTCTTTTTCTTTCAGAAGGTGAAACTCATAAGAGACAGAGAAAAATGATGACTCCTGCCTTCACTCATAATAACGTGAAAGTATGTACTTGTTATATATAGATATATACATTAATAACGAAAGTAAATAATTTTTAAAATTGAACCAAATTCCAATTTTTTTTTTCCTTCCCTATCACTTCTTACACAATTTAAGAGTATGTTTCCACCAATTATCCGCGTAGCCTTTACGTTAAAGGGGTTGATCGATGACAAAGTAAATAAAGGAGAATCGAAAATCATTCTATCCACCTATTTCTCAAAAACTGCTTTGGATATCATTGGCTTAGTTGGTATGAAAGAAAATATTTTCTTTCTTTATCTAAATATGTATATTTTTTCATGCTTAATAAAATTCTTTATATTTCTTTTTTTTAAAAAAAAATAATAACAATAATATATATAGGATTTAATCACGAATTTAACACACTCACCTCTCCAAGCAAATTGGCGGAAGCTTATGAATTTCTTATGAATAACAAACTAAGTTTTTTAAACTTTACTATTCGAAAATTATCTAATTATGTTCCAATCAGAAAAATTCCAATAGCCATGAATAAGAAATTTACTAATTCATGTAAAGTTATTAGCCAAGAGTCGGAAAATTTAATTGAAGAAAAATATATTGACGACAAAAATAACAAATTGGATGGAAATGATTTACTAAGCTTATTAATAAAAATCAACAAGACTTTACCCAACGAAGAAAAGTTGACAAGAGAAGAACTAAAGTATCAGGTACGGAAACTGCGCAATAAAAAAGTTATTTATATAAAGATTAAATGCGATAAATCTTAATTATTTATCTACCTTTCTCTTTGGACAATATAGATCATGACATTTTTATTAGCGGGACATGAAACTACAAGTAATGCATTAAGTTGGGGTTTCTATTTCCTTGCAAAACATCCACGCGAACAAGATTTATTGCGTGAAGAATTAGTTAAAGCTTTCCCTGACAATTCAACATTTGACCCCACATTTGATGAAATCAATTCTTTGGAATATTTAAATTGCATAACTAAAGAAGTATTAAGATTAGTACCTCCATGTATGTATGAATATTTTTAACGAATGAAATTTATATCATTATATTTGTTAACCTTTGTGCCTTTTATTATATATAGTAATTGGTGCTGCTCGATATACTACCGAAGACAGAGTCCTTGGTGGACATTTTATTCCAAAGGTTTGAAACTTATTCTTTAATTATTTGATTTGTTGAATTTTTGAATTTTGTCTAACAACAAATACTCCTTTAATTTTAGAATACTCAAATTGATATCCCGATTACAGCACTTCATCGATCACCTTCAATATGGGGACCAACTGCAAATGAATTCGATCCCAAAAGATGGTTAAATCCTTCTTTAATTAAAAATGTCACAAATTATAATTATTTACCTTTCCTTACTGGTGCTAGATCTTGTATAGGTATGAAAGTAGCCACAAGTGAATTTAAAATAGTATTAAGCATGTTGATTAGAAATTTCGTTTTTCAAACTGGACCACTTGTTATGAAGAAAAAACCCGGTTTCCTTAGCAAACCTGATCCATACCTCGAATTAATTGTTTCTAAAGTAGAAATTTAACGAACTTTTCTTTAATTTATATATATATATTTATTTATTTATCATTTATTCGATCATATATCATCAAAGAATTCATTATATTCAATAAAACATAAAAAAAAACTTTTTATAATTATACTTTTGATGTTTCATATTTGAAATTTATTATATGTAATGTATTTTGATTGAAACAATCAACAATATATAAACCAATTGTTTTTTCAAATGATTTCAACTCCTTATTAGGAATATTATTCTAACAAGGAACCTAAACCAATTGGAAGAAAGGCTGCCACTATCACTTAAATGAGTGGTGTATTCCTAAAAAAAAAGGGAATTTTTTAAAGAAAGCCTTTATGAAATTTAGTAACTTCGTTGGACTCGATTCCAATTAAAGCATAGTCGAAAATACAAAAAAAAATAATTTCTAATGTCATCCTCTTATGTAATTGAAGGAGTATTTCTTCAGTACATGCTTCATAATAAAAGTAGTTCTTTTTTTTCTTTTTAATACTTTTTCAACGTGATTTTATTTTTTAATTTTTAATTTTTTATTTTCTTTTTTTTGGAACCAATTTTTGAAACCAATATCGCTAATTAACGTAAACCATCATTAATTAAATGAATAATATGTATGTATAAAAAGAAAGATCATCTTGGACAAACAATAAAAAAAAAATTTTTGTAGTCGACCGATCCTAATCTCTAAAAGAATGTATTGTATTATCTATTAAAAAAAAATTACAAAGTCCCAACCAACAGAAAAAAAATAAAATAAAAAATAAATTACAATAAATTTATATTATACGTGACTATATATATACAATAAAAAAAAAAAGATATATAAATCTTTTCCTTCCTTTTTTTTTAAAAAAAATATAAATTATGGAATGTTAATGCTTACAATTGGATGAGGATGGTGAAATAAATTTAATGCATAATTGTCGTCGGGGCAATGTAATCGAATAATTGTTTGTATCCAGACGAATTCGATAAAATGATAAAAGGACAAAATAAAAAAGAGCCTTAGGAATAATTACTGTAAAAGACCTTTTCCAAGTTATTGATATTTAGAACAAAATAAAGTTGTGAGGATCCATTTCAATAGGACGCCAAGTCATTGTCAACCGAATCTCGAGAGGCCGTAGAGGATTCCGACTCGGATCTCCTACGGGATAACGATACGCCCGATAAAGGTGAAGAAGTATCTGCTTCGATATGAGACTGAATATCAATTGTAGTATTTCCCAGGATAGGAGATTGTGAGTATGAGCCAATAGAATGATTTTCAAAATGTAGACGAGAACTATCTTCAAAACTAATTGGTGTATTACAAGCAGACGTGGGAGGGTCACTGTTTCCCGTTACGTTTGTTAAATTCGTATAATCAAGATTCGTTGAATTGGATCTTTCATGTTCAGGGATAATTAACACGTGTGACGTACGCTTCATGAAAGACTTTCGTTTATCCGTAGGATTACTTAATTCGATTCTATGATAATCATGACCATGATCAAAGCTTTGACCTGTTAATGTACCGGAATTAATCGTTGTCGAACTATATCTATTTCCTTGATCCGATCCAAGGCTTGTAGAAAGGTAACTCGCTGAATTTAATAAAACCATAGGTGGTTGTATTACCTTTTTGTCCAGGAATGTTCGAACAAACCATCGTATGAATCGATTGGTTTTCTTATTTGATTGAAAGACGTTACTTGGACAAACTCGAGAATTCGTTCGCGCTGCTTTTGGTGAATGTGGTGGACAATGTGACGGTGAAGATGGTAATAAATGTGAAGGTCTCGGTTGTTGTGTTGTTGAATTTTGAAAAGCTGCATTCGATGGTGAAATCGGAGGACTGATTATCGTATGCTTTGGATAACCGTAAATTTCAATAAGGTCTTTTTTAACTCTTCGAAAAGCATTGTGAATTGCAGGGTCGAAAAGAAATGCAACGCAATTAAAGAAACCTATTTATAAAATAAATAAAAAGTTTAGCGTCAAGGTCGCTAAACTCGATACTATTTTTTTAAAAATAAAAAATAAAGGAGCTTTACCGGGCAAACAAGATCCAACAATAGCCCAATAAGTTAATGGCATTGGTACATCGTTTTCTGAATTTGCATGTATAGAGATCCAAACATATTCTACTACAATTCCACAAACAGTAAGAAGGGGTATCGCGGCGTAAAGCGCAATCCTGCCGACTAATTTTAATAGTAAAAGTTTATGTCTTCGTTTAGCTGATAACGTCACGCTATTCTGAGAATGGATCGCTTCGGCCAATTGTCTGTGTTCAAAAACCAATTTACATACAACTATTGTCAACACCGTGGTACAATATATCATTGATATTGATATAGGAATGAGAAAAGTGACAAATTTCCACCATTTTGTTTCTCTTTTATACATGTGACGGTAAATACAATCTCTTGTGTCGGGATCATAGCCAAATTTGTGAAACATCAAAGGAAGAAGGTTTATGAAAATTGCCATTAAAAATGCTACGGGGATGTACCATCGATCTGAAAATGAAGACACTTTTTTGCGATGAAGAAAAACTATCTGTAAATTTTTAAAAATAAATGCGTTAACGTTAAATTCGTACAATTTTGATAATTAGAATTTTTCTAGCATTTACGTTTACCTGTAAATTAAATGCGATCATCACAGTTAGGAAAAGGTATAACTGGGGGAAGAAGGACATTCCAAACGCTATGCTAGTACATTCAGGCGTTTCTCGAGGTTGATAATAAGCGTACGCAATTACGGTTAGTCCGGACAAAACGTCAACGAATGATATCATAGCGGAAAGTCTAAGCGAAACACGATTCACAAGTTTCTTGTCATAAAAATACATAAAAATTATTATAACCAGCACTATTAAACCTCC